TATAAAATATAACAATTCCATTAGAATTATAAAAATACAATGAAGAACAATCTATTCATTCTAAATGGTAATATAAATACATAATCGGCAGGTATAAATAACACCCACATTCTTGAGATGAAAAGTAACGCCCACATTCTTGAGATGAAGATATCATTAAACATGTATACTCGTGAACTACGAAATCTAACTCATGTATATTTCATCATTGAACCAAAAACAGAGCAAAAAATTACCCTTACTATTATTTACGAGATATTTATGAGAGAAGTAAAATATAAATATTGTGTATATATGTNCTAATATGTCTTCTTTAGAAAAAAAATTTTCACTAATTTATGTCTAAGCGGATCTTGTTATCTCAGGAATGTCAAGCAATTAAGAGAATTATGATCTTTAGGACTTGTACCTCTCCTTCACTTTGTTTCATGTATTAGGTGCTTTATTGTGAAGCATCCAATTTTCTTCTTCAAGAAGATGCATAAGAGTAAAGGATAAACATTATCTTTGTGCGATCCTTCAGGGATTCTTGATTTCTTTCTTCATTAAATCTTCAAAATTCAGAGCATGAAACTGTCACTAATACTTACTTTTCTATACATAATTCATTTTACTTCGTTAGTGAATTCATCATTACTTATGACAATGAATTCATTCTGCTTCTGGTGGTGAATAATTGTTACTTCTAGCAATCAATTCATTATGCTTTTGTCAGTATAAACAATTTTCAAGATTTATAGGATCAAAGTGGATCTCGTCAAAGATCCAAGAAAAATCTAATTCAAAATATAAAATATACCAATTCCATTGGAATTATAAAAATACAATGAAGAACAATCTATTCATTCTAAATGGTAATATAAATACATAATCGGTAGGTATAAATAACACCCACATTCTTGAGATGAAAAGTAACGCCCACATTCTTGAGATGAAGATATCATTAAACATGTATACTCGTGAACTACGAAATCTAACTCATGTATATTTCATCATTGAACCAAAAACAGAGCAAAAAATTACCCTTACTATTATTTACGAGATATTTATGAGAGAAGTAAAATATAAATATTGTGTATATATGTACTTGAAGTCCACTTCGATCTCTATTGTCCAAAATACCTTCAAAAATTTTATCTAATTGAAACAGATTTAAAAACTTAAAAAAAAAAATTGGTCAAAAATCCGTTCAAATAATTTTTTAAATCATTGAATACAAGCATAGCACTTTTAAGGTGATATGATAAGTCGAATTACACATTGTTGCCCTCTAGTCTATTTTAATTAAATATTTCTTTTAAATAACAATACCCTTTAGTCTGACAGGTCAATCATTTCCCTTTAACCTGATCTTGATCAAACAGTGGGATGCAAAAAGCAAGTTCCAGATACAGGTGGCTTTTCAAACTGTTGATACTATTTGAGCTATTTGACGCAATGCAACCTCAATTCGGTTGTTGAACTTTCGATAAGTTAGGGGACATCTATTTTATATNGACGCAATGCAACCTCAATTCGGTTGTTGAACTTTCGATAAGTTAGGGAACATCTATTTTATATACAATATATATATAGCACATAAACAATATTGATGGCCGAGCCCAATGACTCAACTCATGTTATAAGTCTAGTTTGAATTAATAGCCCAATTCCAAGAGATTTAGCAAGTCTAATCCAAAGTAATCCATGTCCGGTCAAGCTCATAGGTTCGAGGAGCTACATCAACAAGAGAGCATGCATGGTCATCCCAAGAGCCTCATCCACGCCGCCATGAAAAGAGTCAACCCCCACGTCATCCCTTGACCGAATCCCATATAGAGCACCGTAATTGCGTCATAAGTTGAGAAAAGGGCGCCAACTCCACTAGACTAGCCACTTTTTTTGCACTAAATTAATCACTTAGTTACTAATAACTCACTCAAATCTCTTATGATGCGACTATAAATTATAAGTCTCGCCAACACTTAGAGGCAGATCACATTTAGTCGAGCATAACTTTCTCATCTTTCGCAGTTTGTAACTCTCTACTCACTTGAAGTTATAAAATACCCGACAACCCTAGCCATTTAAAGTGGACGTAGATCACGCTGATCAAACCACTATAAACTCTGTCTTGCATTTATCTCTATCTCTCGCTTATTAATCATTGCATTTATTACTGCTCATCTGACTGAAGGTATACAAACCCAATTTGTGCATCATCAAATATAATTGTAATATTTATAACATAATTTTATATTCAACAACTCTATACAATCACCCAAATCCTAGAAAATAAATAGTTATCGTTCAAAGGTCTACTTTAATTACTTTGGTTAATTGGCCGGTCTCAAAAAGCAGCTGAAAAGATAGCCAAAGAAACATAACTGTTAAAATAACTAGGAATATAATATTGCTAATGTTTGAAGTTGGCAGAATTAGAATTGCTCAAAAATTACTAATGTTTGTTGTTCGTCAACAGCTTATTGGATTAGCTCACTGGAAGTTCTTTAGGTTAGAGGTGATACCAACCCACTGTACAATTTTTCACCATTCAGCTGACTAGATCTTTCACTAGAGACTTGAATGCTAGCTATGGTGTTGCTTTGCTGGTTGAGAAATACCATTTAAAACTCCACAATCCATCTACGTCCATGGAAGACGTCTACACAAAAATTTGGAATTTGGTTCTATTTGACTAAAGGTAACGACATTCCAATGTTTCATAAAATTATGTATTAAATTTGTATGGATTTAAAGAATTAGCATGACGAATCATTACACTCATCCCGTGCATATGATTTTAGTAAAAAAAAAAATTTAAAATAATTCACGTGTGCAACTAGTATCTTGAAACGATAACAAATGTTAATTTGTCAAAGCGATACATTACAAGTTCAAGTGCAAGAGTCAATCTCTTTAAATTGATAGTAAAATCTCCTGAAATATACCTCTCCAAGACTGCTATAACGCTGCGTTTGGTACGTAAAATTAGACTTTAGGTATGAAATTATCATTTACTAAGAATGTTCATTCCATTACTTGGTTTGTGGTAATGAAAATTCATNGTAAAATTAGACTTTAGGTATGAAATTATCATTTACTAAGAATGTTCATTCCATTGCTTGGTTTGTGGTAATGAAAATTCATTCTCATTCCTTAAGAATAACTAATACCAAAAAATATAGGATTAATGATTACCAAATTAAACATGGTATTGGCCCATTCTCAAATCGGTGGTAATGAACCCCAATAGATTTGACCAAAAAAACCGATGGTCCCGATCTCTTTCCCTTCTCTGTTTCTCTGTTTCTCTGTTCTCCTCACTCATTGTCTTCTTCCCTACCCATCGTCTCTCTCTCTCTCTCTCTCTCTCTCTCTCCTCACATCACCTCAATGACTACTTCTCCCTTACCAGGAACCATGGCAGTAACTCTATTCTCTGCCTCCTCATCTCCTTGTGATGCAAGGGACCATAACAACGATTGGGAGTCGGGACTACATCTATGAACATACAAGATCTGACCTTGCCACCAATCTTAGGTAACACCTCAATCAATTTCGTCAACAATCTCATATCCGTTTTAGAGTTTTGTAAGAGTTAACATATTTTCTTTCTTTTCTCATTCTATGAACACATGATTATCAAATGAAGACGATGTTGAGAGAATACAATGTATTGTTAGATTTAAACTCAGTTAGGACTGATACATTAGTTCTCCTTTATTTTTATGTATTTTTTCTTTGGTAGAATGTCAATTTAGTTTGTCTACCAACTATATGCTAAAAGTTCCATTAGAAATGAGAGAAAAGAAAAAAAAAGAGTTGATAGTACCATCAATGTATCTGTGTGTGTGTGTGAGAGAGAGAGAGAGAGAGAGAGAAATTTTTGCTTCTGTGAATGTTAACTAGTGATAATGGAAATGGTGGGTGACATTTCAGGACTTTTGATGTGTGGGAAGAGTTGCAGGCTAAGGCAGATAAACTATCTCAGACCAGACTTGAAGAGGGGTCTGTTATCGGAATATAAAGAGAAGATGGTTATTGATCTCCATGCTCAACTTGGCAACATGTTTTTTTTTTTTTTTCTCTTGCCACCGATGGACATCCGAATTACTTGTAAATTTTGATACGGATCTCGGCACCATAGTCTTACACTATAAACGTTTACACACATAATTCCTTTCATGAGATGATGAGTGGCAGAAATGAACTGCTGAAAGAGTGAGTCCTACTTGAGGAATCCATTCCCTGTGCCTTCTATCATTGTTATCATTTTCTTTCTGTATTAATAGAATGTAGTTCTTGCATTAGTCACTGTCAAACAGCTGAGCTGTCCCAAATTACTTTTGTAAAGTCCACTAAAAAAGCTATGATAAAAAAGACCAAAGTTTATGTTGTCCAAGAAAAAGTTTCTAAGCAATAGCTGGGATACCTTCGTATATGGACCAATTCTAGTTGCCATTAAAAAGGTTACAAATCTATTTTGCTACTGGATGCAAAAACCATGGACCAATTCTTGTGGCCATTAAAAAGTTTATAACTCTTTGGCTAATATTTGTACAAATGGTCCAAGATTGCTTCTCAGCTCCCTGGAAGAACTGCTCAGGTTATTCGCATTCAAAGAGTACGGATTTGATATAGTTGGGTTATGGCTACCCTTCATACACTGTCATAAAACATGTTCAAGTCAGAAGGGATTTCAAAGCACACTGCCCATTTCTTTTTTGTTGATCTTTAACCTGGAATGATAACTAGAACCATAAGGAAGTCCAAAACCTGGCCCCATTGACACCACATCACAACCTGTCTTTAAACTGATGCAAGGGTCACAAGTATATCTCAAATTCCTTAACCATGGTCATTTACATTCTACTTTTCACCAAGACAACAGAGGTTATGGTGTTTATTACAATGCTTCCTATGATCCCTGCATTCGATAATAAATTCAAGAATTGTTACAAAAGACTACGGATTACAAAGATGCCTTTGACAAAGCAAATAATATGCAACACGGCTGACTAGAATAACTGAATAAGTGTTGAGGATTCACCACTTCGGTTTCTGAGACAGATATCCTTATTTCGTGCTTTTATTGTCTCTTTTATGTCCTCCAATTTGGCTGAATACTTCTCAAACAAACTTAGAACTTCATGATCATTGAACCAATGCCTGTGAAGATTGTGCAACTGATGTATGTATTCTTCATCTGGAGAGTGGGTTGATAGGGTGTCTTGGACAGCCATTACCTTGGTGGCTTGAAGTTGAGTCGCCAAAGACGCCAGAAAAGCATGTTGAGGGTCAGAAATGAACTTCTCATACTCAGGATCATCTTCTTGGGGGATGAGTTTTCTCGTGAGTGTGGAATGATTAGGCACATACCCACCAAAGGGATACTACCCAAAGTTTATTGTTGCATGCTGTCCAGAAGCGATCCAAATCATCGTGGTTAGTATGCCAGATAAGTCCTATTTAGCGTTCAGTTTAGGCCACCAAGGCTCATTCCTTTTATCATAGTGACCCTTGTTCTTGATCTCATCCCACCAAGCTTGTAGCTCTACATCAGATGTGATAAAATGAGGCTCAAAATAGAAGTTGGGTTATGCCATGTACATCATATGTTTTGCCTACTCTCAAGAACATGTGATGCCATATTAAACATTGTGCATTGTCCTAAAAATAATTGTGTGGCTGATTGCTTGGCCAATAGGGCAGTTCGAGACAGAGGATGTACTGATTTTTTACACTTTGTTCAGTTGCTTGTTTCTGTGATGCTAATGCTGATGCAGGATTGTAGGTTACCTAATTTGAGAACGAAAAGAGTGATGGTTTTTTATGATAAAGGCTAGGAAGGACAGGTTTGATGTTGAAGGATGGGTCTTAGCTTCCTTGACCAAGAGTGTTGTCTGCTTTGCAAACCAAGAATCTAAGTTGATTTCTGGTGGAAGCACTGCTGAAGGTTGCTGTGTGATGGACTGTTTCCTGCCAAAGAATAAATTTAGATACTCTACCATGTTTTGAAGGATTAAAGCCGTGAGTTGGCTTCTTTGTTTCTTGTATTTCTTTTAATTCTTGGATTTATCAATAAATTTCTTCTCTAAATTTATCAACCAGATCAGTGTTATCAAAACCGGACTAGACATTGAACTGGCAGAGGGACCGGGTCAATGGTTCACCGGTTCAACCGTTAGATCAACTGGTCGTATAATAAAAAAATAAAAATATATATAAAATATACTAATATAACTAAAAAATTCACAATCAAAATAAAAAATAAATAGTGTATTGTGTGTAATCAGTAATATCTATTCATAGACTATTTATTCCATTCCGCAATAAATAGTTGTGACTTATTCAACACACAGTACTGTTTTTTTTTTTTTTGGGATCTTGCACAGTACTGTTATTGAGTGTGTATTAAAGTATGTCTATATTCATAGACTGCTTGTTCAAAAATATTCATAGATTTTGTGTGCGCGCTCGCGTGTAGGCAGAGAGAGACAGAGTGAAAAGAGATGACCCAACATCTCTTACTAACTGCGACCGAGTGTGTTTGAATGGAGAGAGAGAGACAGAGGAGAAGAAGTCTAGTGTTCGAGCTTCAAGATCTAGACCATCTGCTGTTCAAGATCTAAATCTGTGGAGTCAAGCTGTTGTTTAAGAGCTCGATCTGGAGAAGACGTAGAAGAGGAGGTCTATTTGAGAGCTTGATCCAAAGAAGACGAAGGCTGGTTTTGAACCGGCCGGTTTTTTATTCTTCGGTTCACTGGTTTTTGGCTTAAATTGGCCAATTTTTTCGGTTCTCCAACGATTCGATTACCATACGGTCTTTTTAATAAATCGGACCGTTGAAGGTTGTGCTTCACTGGTTTATCGGTCCGACCGACCGATCCAGTCCGAATAACACTGAACCAAATGATGTCTTGATAATTTTCTTTTTGGGTTTGCACATGTGTTCTATTGAATTCACAAAAAATTATAGTCGTTCAATTGAAATTCAGATGAATAACCAATTTTAAATAATTTTTTATGTTGATTTCTTTTTGTGAACCTATTTTTTAAAAAAATTATTTTCTAATTTTTTAAAATTTATAGGGGTTTAATTTTTTTCAATGGATGCTCATTTTTCCTAATTATAAATTTTCTTATACAACTTTGAAAGGCAATCACAATCATAAAAAAAAATGTTATTAATTATTTTTAGTCACTGAATATTTGGTTAAAGTTGATTCCATTCCAATGAAAAAAATATTTTATCCAAACATAAAAATGAAATAAACATTCCATTTCAACACTTAATCCTAAACAGTTATCAAACATTAGAATGGTAATACGCATTTCATTCTATTCCATTCCTAAATTCATTTCATTCTCAAACTCATTTCATTCTTACTGAAAAACATAACATACTAAACACAACACAACATAAATGGGTTCGACATTAAGACAATATTTACTTGAAATCATCCACTTCAAGTGTCAATTTCTTTAAATTGTCAGTAAAACTGCTTACAATTTACCTCTCTCAGACCCTACTATGAATAAATTCGACCTTGAGACAACATTTACTCAGAGATCGTCGAATTCAAGAGTCAATCTCTTTGAGCTGACAGTAAAGTTGCCTATAATTTCCCCCTCCAAGACTCCGCTACAAGTGGATACTACCTTTTGAGACAATAGTTGCTCAAAGATCATTGAGTTTAGGAGTCGATCTCTTTAAACTGACAGTGAAACTGCCTGCAATTTACCTTTCCAAGACCCCGCTACAAGTGCATTTTACCCTACATATAGAAAAGTTGTTTTTGTAATTCAAACTATTGAAACCCAAGTCACAATAGAACAACCTTACTACTGTATCAATGCCCACTCTAGGAACTCAGCAGTATAAACAGAACATAAATGGTGACATACTAGAACGCCGCCATTCTGTGACCATGCAGTTGAGAGAAGTCAATTTAAATGGTAAACATTGAGATGAAAGCAAGTCTCCCCAAAATAAGACTAGTTTACAAGAAAACATAGAGACAAACAAGAAGTCCACAACCCGAAATAGCTATACAGGCAAACAACCATCCATTTACAGCCTTGTTCGCATCAGCCTGATCAAGTAAAGGTGTATACAATACAGTTAAGGCTGAAAACCCACACACATAAGAGGAAACCACAACACAGGAAAAAGAAATAGTGAGCAAAACAACAAAATCATACAAACTAGTTCTCCAGATCTAAAACTAGCAATAGCAGAGAAATCACCTGAAACAGGACACATGAAAGGCAAACATATATGCCATCTATGTACACAGTTAGGAGAAGATTGTACCTCACAAAGCAATTCCGTTCATAAACATCCAATCCTGTTTTCCACATTGAAATTTCCAGTTCACATGATGACATATCAGCAAAGTTTGCAAAGAGGAAAGCATTGACGTGCCCAGCAACCCAAAAAATAAGTGTAGAAGGAGACCAGAAAAAACAAAGAACTTCATTAAATTTCATTACACCAGTACAAGTTTAGTAGCTCTTGTTTTTCTTTCAGCCATCAGACTGATGATTCCAACTTGCAAGAAAATAAAAACAATTGTCAACAAAAAAGTTCTTTTTTCTAACAAGAAACAAAACAACTTTATTGAATTGAAAAAGGCCATCAAAGGGAAAAGTGAGACGTACAAGATGTCCAACCAAGAAATGGAAAAACCAAAATCAAATCATAAAACTAAGGAACATAAGCCTCCCAAAACAACAAAATTACAAATGAGCGGAACACCGTCAAAATCCTTAGTTTCATCAAAATCCCTAGAAACTAAATCCCACAATAAAACCAAGAAATAGAGCCAGTCCGATAAGCCTTCCTTCCACTCACTTCTATATTGAGGTGTTCTAGAGTTCCTTTCCAACCAAATTACCCAAATTATGGCAAAGATTGCAAAATTCCAAAAGGTCACCCCTTTCTTATGCTTTCCAAACCCCTTGTAATCCTCCACAAACATGGACGAAGAAAAGTTCACAATAAGTAATCAAAAAAGTTCTAATGGCTGAGCAAACCTCGCAATATGACAGAAGGGCAGTGAAGCAGCTGTCTGAAGCAGTTTAAAGGAAATCAGTACTGCAATTTCAACGTTCCATAAGCAAGCTATGACAATACCTTAATAAAATGAAATACATTGGTGCTGATCATTATTGTGCCAGGATGGATTTTGAGTGAGTTCCTAAACCCCACATGTCAAAGGTTGAGAATTGGTAGAGAGAGGAGAGGAGAGCAAAGAAATGAAAAGGATATATAATTTTCCTATGGAAAAATTCAGGGTAGTTTTGCTGTCCTCGTGACTTTTGAATATCCGCATAAAAAAAGAGAGGAGTTTTACGAATATCAAGACTTGTCTAAACCACAGCAAAATATGCATTATCAAAACTCATTTAAGCTTATTCTTTAATTCTCCCAACTGACAACTGAATCTAGCATCTACCGACTTTTTTTGGAGAAATCAAAGGATCTGCCCGCTAGTTGCCAGCTACTTGTCTCAATTATATCTTGCCATAAACAGCATACAAATGCAACCCCCCACCCCTCCTCTTCAAGTCACAAAAGAAAATAAATTTCACTGCACCTCCTTTCACTCTCCCCATCTCTCTTTGTACAGCACCCAACATCCAATACCAAGCTCCTATTAGGGGTGTAACTCGGGCGGGTTAGACAGTCAACCCTAGCCCAACCCTAGGTACAAAATCTTAAACCCTAACCCTAACCCTACCTCGGGTTAGGGAACTCAACCTGAGTATTGCCCGAGTTTAATTCGGGCGGGCTCGGGTTAATTTCAGGATAATGATTTCAATCTAATTTAGAATTACTTTATGGGTTCAATTCGGGTTGAGTTCGGATAGAGCCCAAAATAAGCTTGTTATTATAAACCTAATACATATATTACATAATATTCACCTAAATTAACAAACAATAACTTCAACCAAGTTTTTAACAGTGCTAATGCTAGAACAAAAATGAAAATGAACGAGAGAGACAGAGAACGATAGAACAAAAATGAAAAACCAGTGCTAATGCTTTATATATATATAATTTTTTTTTTATTTGTCGGGTTCAGGTTGAACCCGAGACCTTAACTCGNTTGAATTGAAAAAGGCCATCAAAGGGAAAAGTGAGACGTACAAGATGTCCAACCAAGAAATGGAAAAACCAAAATCAAATCATAAAACTAAGGAACATAAGCCTCCCAAAACAACAAAATTACAAATGAGCGGAACACCGTCAAAATCCTTAGTTTCATCAAAATCCCTAGAAACTAAATCCCACAATAAAACCAAGAAATAGAGCCAGTCCGATAAGCCTTCCTTCCACTCACTTCTATATTGAGGTGTTCTAGAGTTCCTTTCCAACCAAATTACCCAAATTATGGCAAAGATTGCAAAATTCCAAAAGGTCACCCCTTTCTTATGCTTTCCAAACCCCTTGTAATCCTCCACAAACATGGACGAAGAAAAGTTCACAATAAGTAATCAAAAAAGTTCTAATGGCTGAGCAAACCTCGCAATATGACAGAAGGGCAGTGAAGCAGCTGTCTGAAGCAGTTTAAAGGAAATCAGTACTGCAATTTCAACGTTCCATAAGCAAGCTATGACAATACCTTAATAAAATGAAATACATTGGTGCTGATCATTATTGTGCCAGGATGGATTTTGAGTGAGTTCCTAAACCCCACATGTCAAAGGTTGAGAATTGGTAGAGAGAGGAGAGGAGAGCAAAGAAATGAAAAGGATATATAATTTTCCTATGGAAAAATTCAGGGTAGTTTTGCTGTCCTCGTGACTTTTGAATATCCGCATAAAAAAAGAGAGGAGTTTTACGAATATCAAGACTTGTCTAAACCACAGCAAAATATGCATTATCAAAACTCATTTAAGCTTATTCTTTAATTCTCCCAACTGACAACTGAATCTAGCATCTACCGACTTTTTTTGGAGAAATCAAAGGATCTGCCCGCTAGTTGCCAGCTACTTGTCTCAATTATATCTTGCCATAAACAGCATACAAATGCAACCCCCCACCCCTCCTCTTCAAGTCACAAAAGAAAATAAATTTCACTGCACCTCCTTTCACTCTCCCCATCTCTCTTTGTACAGCACCCAACATCCAATACCAAGCTCCTATTAGGGGTGTAACTCGGGCGGGTTAGACAGTCAACCCTAGCCCAACCCTAGGTACAAAATCTTAAACCCTAACCCTAACCCTACCTCGGGTTAGGGAACTCAACCTGAGTATTGCCCGAGTTTAATTCGGGCGGGCTCGGGTTAATTTCAGGATAATGATTTCAATCTAATTTAGAATTACTTTATGGGTTCAATTCGGGTTGAGTTCGGATAGAGCCCAAAATAAGCTTGTTATTATAAACCTAATACATATATTACATAATATTCACCTAAATTAACAAACAATAACTTCAACCAAGTTTTTAACAGTGCTAATGCTAGAACAAAAATGAAAATGAACGAGAGAGACAGAGAACGATAGAACAAAAATGAAAAACCAGTGCTAATGCTTTATATATATATAATTTTTTTTTTATTTGTCGGGTTCAGGTTGAACCCGAGACCTTAACTCGAGCTCAACCCAAATTGAATTCGGGTTAAAATTTTTTGACCCAAGCCCGACGCAAGCCCAACCCAAGTATTAAAAACCCTTGTCCAAACCCTAATTTTTTCGGGTTGGGCTCGGGTTGAAATCGGGTTGCCCAACCCAAATTGGGCCCCTAGCTGCTATCCTATTCCTTGTCCTAAGTTATTAGGTCAGATCCACTTCACTTGGATGGGCCCTCAGCAAAGAAAAAAGAGTCAAAAACTGAAGGACAGCTACAATTCTTTAACTTAGCCAATACACAGCTATATGGTAGCCTCCAATTTTTCTAATGCGATGATTTATCATTCATGGACGTCGAATGAGATCCATAATTTACCAGCACTTTAGGATAGTGCAGCCTTAAAGCTATGGGCAAGGTTCAACCGAGTAAAGGCTTATGGTGGATACCTAGGCACCCAGAGACAAAGAAGGGGCAACTCACGTCTAACAGTAATTAGCTGGATTGGCTGGGGGACAGCTGAGGAATGTTACAGTTCTCCTTTAATTTTTTGAGCTTTAGATGAGGATTCCAGTCATTGGCTGAACATGGTCAGAATCTCATCTCTTGTTGATCGAAATTCATGTAGCACTGTGGTTTAAAACACCAGACAATTCTGCCAAAACAATATGACAAACATGAAACAAATCTCCTTTTCATGAAACAAATCTCCGTTTGGCCTTTGATAGCTATGTAATATGGCAAATTTTTCTTACTCTTCCACTTTCAAATAGTTCCTTGTGCATCAAAAGACTTCTAAAGGGCATGAGATCCAGGACTGGTTGGACAGTAGACCAAAGACAGAAAGAGGAGATTCACCATCTATACTTGTACATGCATACAACAGCCAAATGCAATACAAGTTTTGATGTAAAACACCATAAGTTGCAAAACAACTACAAAAAAAGTGATCCAAAGAGTCCATTTGTGCACACACAACCACATACCAACCAGGAGTTTGAACCGCACCCTTACCCCTTTGAGATGACATTAACCAAGAATGAAGACAGGATTACTATGGCAAGCAGAATCCTAGATCAATCCAAGGACCAGCATAGTGGACATTGGACAAAGAAGGTGTGATATATTAAAATCTCCATTGATCTTACAAATTGGAGACACACACACTCTCTTTATATATAGGGACTAAACATTTGTGATAAGATAGAATAAATATCCCAAAAATGTTTCAAGACCAAGAAATCGTACAAATATTGATGATGAACAAAATGTGTTTATGCACCACCTATCAAGTATTTAATGCAATAATAAATGATGAGAGTCAACACAAGCATAACACAATTTAAGTGGTTGAAACAGGGTGACCTACTCCACTTTGAAGGGCTAGGGCTCAAGTGTTAGAGATATGTATGAGATGCCCCTTTGTGTAAGTGGGACTTACAATTTATAGGCGTTTCCTAATAGATTAAGGCATCTTTCCTGTATCAAGTGAGGTAGTTTGATGGAGGTGGCGCTCTTCTCGTAACAGGTGAAACAATCCAGTGGAGGTGATAACGTGCGCATCCCAAATAAATCTTTTCGCCTGTCAGTTATGGACTGAGTCTCTCGCCATAAGAGGCGACTAACCTTACTCTCTCTCAAGATGGCGCGATTGACCTAGTTTCCTCCTTCTTGATGTGGGTCTGGCTTGCATTCCTAAACTGGACCTTTGAGTTGGGCCTCATCTGTGATTCTGGGCCTCGGCTGTAATTTTGGGCCTGATTTGGGTTGGGCCCATCATTTGCCCCCTATGCCCCGAGCCTAATGGAATTTGGAAGAGAGGGCATTAGCAAAGATAAAATTTGTCTCCTATTTTTTTACCCTTTTTTCCAAGTACTAACTACTTCCTTGCGGATATTGCTTTGAGATTTGAATTCATGGGTTGGCGGGCACTCTTTAGATGGGGCTCCTTATCCCACTTTGATTAGGACTTCTCATTTTAGACTGTTTTGGATATCTCCTTTCACCCTGATGAGGAGACTTCATCTCACTCCTATTGAGACTACCCACTTGATTGGGACGCTGTCAAATCTAAAACTTTGGCTATAAATAAGACTCCTCCACATCAATTCTCCCAACTCAATCTAAGAGAGAATAAAGAGAGGTGCATTGTCGAGTGGATTAGGATTCAAGGATCGGGCCTTAGGTAAGGCGGCACCAAGAGGCGTTGAGGCAGGCGAGGGCACCCAAAGCGCCATGGTAGGCGTGGGCGTCAAGGCAGCAGGCGAGGGCGCCAACAAGGGCATCAGGGGTGCCGTGGTAGCAAGCGAAGGCCCCAGTCGAGGCGCCAACGAGGGCGCCATGGCAAGTGCAGGTGCGGGCACTGTGGCAGGCACATGGGCAATCACAGGTGCGAGAGCAAGCACGAGAGCCTGGGAGCAGGTTGCAAGTGCCACCACATAGGCATTCGGGCTAGGTGTCAAGGAGTTGCACGCGGAGCTAAGCACTGGGCAAGCAGCGAGATGTGATGGACGTAATTTTTCCCCACATCCATAACGACATAAGTATCGTGGTAAGGTGGCTACTAATGACAATGGCTCTAAGGTGAGCTCTATTTCTAGCTCCCTCACAATTGATGCTAAGATTGCTAGGATTATATCCATTTTTTGCACTCCCCCTGCAATGTTGTGCCGCCGGGCTGAGATGGGTGAACCAACCTCTGATGGCTCCTCTCAGGACCTTGCTTTCTATGAGGAAGTGTTAGAAGCATGTCCAAGGTTCCCGATGCCTTCATCAGTATGTCGCATTCCGGCATACTCGTCGTTCCTACCGGGGCGGTTGGCCCCTAATGGATGGAGAGTGTTGTTGGGATTCCTCGCGTTGTGGAGAAACGTTCATAGCAAAAATGCCTCTCCCTCATGTAAGGATTTTTTTGCTGCTTATACTTCACATGAGAACCCCACTCCCAAAAGAGGCTGGTACCACTTTCCTCTAAGGGCAAGAAAGTTAATCACTGGACTGTGCTCCAATTGCCATAGTTGGAGGACTGATTTTTGTTTGTAGGAGAGTGGGTTGCTAAGGAAGACCGCACTTTGGTTCTCACTGGGTGGGGTGCACCCAAGAGGATAGGTATAAATTATGTCTTTTTTTTTGGTCCCTTTCGCCTTCACTATATTTTCAACTCTTTTTCAGGCTTGCCAGAGTTATCGGCATACCATGAGGACTTCAAGTCATGAGGGCTCAGCCTGTAAAGGAGTATGGGACCCTTATATCTAGAGATGGTCAGGTCGGGGATTCCCCTTCTGGAGATGATTTATCTTCTTCCCAAACCCGTGGCTCTTCCTCCAAGAAAAGAAGTAAGTCATCTTTTACAGCGACTTTTTGACAAAACTTTTAACTTCAAAAGCTTACTCCCTTTTTTTTGGTTCCAGTAAATAAGTCCTGGGTGGAGGCTCTTTACTCTACTAGGGTTGTGCAGGCAATTCCTCCACCTAAGAGGGTGAGGCCGGATGATGCTCCTGGGGTTCCTAGCAGGTGACTCCACTTGTTCCAGTTGTCTAGGCACCTCCTATAGCTACTTCTCCAGCAGGGGCATCTCAGGAGGCAAAAGTACCCCCTCTTAACACAGATTAGGACGTCACATGTCCTTCGGTATCCATGGTTCAAAACGTGAATGTAGCCGGGAATCAGCTTTTGAGGTTCGTGACACCGTTGGATATCCGAGAAGTCAGCCATCAAGATACCGAGGGTGTCATCAACACCATGATGGAGAACCTAGCCAAGGTAATCATTTGTGCTTCTATAGAATTTTATTCTTTATGTCTTCTAATGACACTGACCTTGTCCTCTTTTGTATGTTTGTAGGTGTCCACAGCCACTACATGCCTTTTTGCTAGGGCTACTCATCATGATCACGTATCAAAAGTTTTGATGAAAGAGAGACTGACTCTGCAAGTTGTTAAGGAGCAATTGAGAGTGGATCACGAGAAAGCTGCACCTCTTGAGGCCGACCTTTTAACGACCCACAAGAAAGCCGCTAAGTTAGGGACTAACAGTGAGACTGGCCGCACGAAAGCAGAGGCAAAGTTACAAGTAGCCCATGAAAGGACCACCCGAGCCGAGGCAGAGCTGCAGGCAGCTCATGAGAGGGCTTCCAAATTTGAGGTAAAGCTGCAGTCGACCAATGAGAGGGCTTCTAGAGCAGAGGCTCACTCCTTAGAGATGGAGAGGAAGAGGGAGGATAATCTATAGGATAGCACTACGAGCACCTTTATTGATAGCTATGAGGAGTTTAGAGGAAAAGTTTTAGCTATTTTTCCTCACCTAGACTTCTCGGGATTCGTTTATTGTGAGAAGACAGATGTTGATGTTGATGGCGATAATGAGGAGCCGAATGCTAAGGTTGCTGGCTAGGGCTCTCGCGATGGGGAGTCAAATAGAGACAAGGAGAGTGACAACAGCGAGAACAGTCAGAGTTCTGAGGATATTTGATTTTTTTTGGTAGGTAGGTACCATCAGACTGTGCTCTGACTTTTGTGGAAGTGGCTTGGCTTTTGTTTCCAAACTTATGAAATGAAAAGCATGGCAAATTTAAAATAAATTCGTAAAAATTTTAATTAATAACTGCTTATAATAAACAATGGTGAGTGGCAATCCCAAAAAACTTTATTTGGTAATTCCAAAAAATGTAAAAGTCTAGGTTTGAGACTAAATAAAATCCTAAAATTTTATTACTCTGGTTCCCCTTGCTTTATTGGTAGTACCTCTTCAGATGTTCAGTTTTTCTTGAATGGACTAAAGACCTTTCCTTCAGAATTCTGGATTCTGTAGGTGTTTGGCCTCACAATTTGTGTCACAGTGTACGACATTTTCCAATTTGGCCCTAACTTCCCCTCACCTGAGTCTTTAGTGACCAAAATCAACTTCTTAACGACCAAGTCCCTAGGTAAGAAAGAGCGAGGCTTCACCCTCAAATTGTAGTACTTGATCATGCGGCACTTGTATTCCGCATTTCTAATCATAGTTATATCTCTTTCCTCCTCTATCAAGTCGAGGTTGACGCGAAAGTCTTCTTCATTGGTGGACAGGTCAGTGCTAGACACTCGGTAAGTGTACCCCAATCTCAACAGGTATTATTGTTTCGCTCCCAAAGACGAGGGAGAAAAGAGTCTCGCCAATGGGGCTCCTTGGCATTGTCTGGTAGGCCCACAACACTCCCAAGAACTCCTCTACCCATAATCCATTGGCACTTTCCTCTAGTCTTCAAATTGCATAGTATGGTCCTTATGGTGACTTCAACTTGTCCATTTGCCTGGGGTTGGACTAGACTAGAGTGGGACTACCTGATTTGGAGGTTGGCACAGAAACCATTAAGGAGCTTATTATCGAACTGCTTACCATTGTCGCTCACTATGGCATGAGGTATTTCAAAGTGGCACACCATGTTTCTCTAGATAAAGTCCATCACCTACTTGTCTATTATTTTGGCTAAACGTCCAACTTCCGCCCACTTTGTAAAGTATTCAATTAAACGTTCAACTTCCGCCCATTTTATAAAATAGTCAATGACTACCACCACGAATTTGCACTGATTGCGGCTCATAGGCAAGAGGCCCACCGGCCTAGGATATCGATGCCCCACTTTGAGAATGGCTAAGGACTCATGATGGTGGTCAATTCTTCTAGTGGTTGCCTTGGTACAGTGGCGAAGCTTTGACATTTGTCACACTTTTTCACAAACTTTTGTCGTCTCTAATCATCTTAGGCTAGTAGTAGCCTTGTCTAACTGCCTTATGAGCTAGAGAACGCCTTCCATAGTGATTTTTGCATACCTCTTCGTGGATCTCTCCCATGGCATAGTCAAATTCCTCTGGAGAGAGACAGTAGCATAACAACAATGAGTAGCTCCTCTTGTAAAGAATATCCGGCAAGATTACATATCTTGACGCTCTTAGCCTTAGCTTCTTGGCTTCCACTGGGTTGTCTGTAGTGTGCCCTCCTCTAGATATGCCCGCATAGGTGTCGTCCAATCGTCGTTGGTGGATGTACAATTGATGCTTCCTATATCCGTTTTGAGCCTACTTGACTCAAATTGGTAGCCTATAAATGTGGGACCTGGTGGGATATCTGAGGATGATGCAACCTTGGCGAGTGCATCTGTTATGGTATTACCCTCCCTTGGCACATATTGAATTTGAAAATGGTGGAACTTTTTTAGTAAAGTTTGCACCATTGCTATGTACTCCTGCATCCTTTCTTCTCCCATTTTGAAATTTCCTTTTACTTGGTTAACTACCAGTTGAGAATCATTGTAGACGGCGAGGTATTTAGCCTCCATTTCAATTGTCAGCCTAAGGCCTGAGATGAGCACCTCATATTCTGCCTCATTGTTGGAGGATGCAAAATGGAGTGATACGTCGTATTTGATGGGCATGTCGTTGGGGTTGATGAATACTAGGCCTGCTCCACTCCCCTCATTGGTTGAGGACCCATCTACATAAAGTCCCCACCAAGGCGTGGATCCAGGTGTGGTGTCAAAAGGTACAAAGGCACTAGTTGTTGGAAGGGTTTGCGCAGCTGGTAGTAGGGCACTATGTAGGGGCGTGGAGAGGGAGAATGCCGAGGTGCCTAGGGAGCAAGAGAGCAGGGCGCCAAGACCAAGGTTCCTGGGGAGTAAGACGCCCAAGCCTAGGCGCTTGGGGAGTTGGCCGCCAAGGCCAAGGCACCAAGGGAGTAAGGCGTCGAGGCCTAGGCGCCTAGCAAGCTAGTCCAGAGGCAAGCAAGCGCTGGGGCACTGGCCATGGGTGCTAGTTCTTCTCCACTGCCTCCCTCCTTTGGCGATGTGTGCTCAGCAACAAAATCTGCTAAAGTCAGTGCCTTGATGGCCGCTCTTAGTTGATACTGCACGTCAAACTTGCCCAATTCGGCCTACCCATTTAAAGAGCCTTCCAGACACATTTGACTTTCTCAGTATTCTTTTCAGTGGTTGATCTGTGACAACCATGATGGTGTGGCTTTGAAAGTAGTTCTAAAGGCACCTAGTTGTCGTGAATAGGGCGAGAGCTAACTTCTCCAACCCTGAGTATCTTATATCTACTCCTTGATAAGCCCTGCTCACATAGTAAACGGGCTTTTGCACTCCTTCATTCTCCCTAACAAGGACAGAGCTTACAATATACAATGAGACAGTTAGATACAGGTACAAGGTCTCTCCAATTATGGAGTGGTTGAGCAAAAAAGGTGCGGCAAGATAGGCTTTCAATTTTTGGAAAGCCTCTTCTGCGTCTAGTCCCCACTCAAAAGCTTTCCGAAAGATTTTGAAGAAAGGTAGATATTTTTCAGCGAACTTTGAGACAAATCTGTTAAGTGCCGCCACCCTTCCGTTAAGGTGTTTGACCTCTTCTACAGTGGCTGGGAACCTCATATCCAGAATAGCCTTGATTTTGTCCAGATTCGTCTCAATTCCCCTCTTATTGACCATGAAGCCCAAGAATTTTTCTAATCCTACGCCAAAGGCACATTTCTCAAGATTCAATTTCATGCAGTAAAACCCCAAGACATCAAAAGTCTTTTGCAAATGGGTCACATGATCTATTGCGACAAGACTCTTTACTAACATGTCATCCACGTATACCTTCATAGTCCTCCCGATTTGTGATTGGAACATCTTTTGTTTTCTAGTCGCTGGTATGTTGCTCCTGCATTCCCAAAGGACATGACCTTGTAATAGTAGGTCCCTTTTGGAGTGATGGATGATGTCTTCTCCTGGTCTGGGAGATACATACTAATCTGATTATATCTTGAGTAAGCACCCAAGAAACTAAACAGCTCATGACCAGCGGTGGCATCAATGAGGATGTTGATGCGTGGCAAGGTGTAGTTATCTTTGGGACAGGCTTTGTTGAGCTAGGTGAAGTCTACGCAAAGGTGCTCTCTCTCATGCTGGTTGCGGACTGGTGGTAGGGCCTGGTCTCGGCCCGCCACGTATTGCCGCAACTGGCCACACTGTATAAGGCCCTCAATCTGCCTCTTGAGTTCAAAGCAATCGTCAGTGTCATGGCCATAATTGCGGTGGAAGCGAAGTATTTGTTCCGGTTTCTACGATTTGGGGCAGACTTCATTTTTCCTAGCCAGCGTAAGCAAAATATGCTCAACTGAAGCATTGAGCAACGTGAAGGCCAACAGTTCCCTGTGAGGTGCAGGGCGGAGGCAGTCCTTACCTGACACTCTCTGTCTTCCTCCTCTTATTCTCTGTTTCTCTCATGTTTTCACAAGGCTCCTTCCTCTTCTCCCCTCCTCGGGAGGACTGACCTCGTCTGCCCT